TTTCCCTACCTTAAATCATTATAAAATTCTACACATAAAGGTAAAGTCTATCTAAACAGCAAAGATAGAATTCATCTAGCTATCACAGTTTGGTATTACTACTCTAATTCTATTCTTTCATGCACCTTTTTCATTATTATTTGGCTACCAAAGTAGATTTGAAAACAGCAAGAGAATGCACTGCTCAGTAAACTTAATTGGTGTATTAGTAATATTTCCCAGTATAAATTGGAATTCTACTTCAAATTGAAAAACTCTCAACAACAACAAAACATTCCAGAAAAAGAATAGCCTGAAGCTGAAACAATCATCCTTCATTTTCCAAAATGCTTCAAAGGCTTCTTCCCATCATCCTCTTCATCAAATTTTATGTTAAACTTCCTTTATCTTCTAGATGAAATCTCTAAAAATTTTTATTATATACCCTAATCAGTAAAAATTCTGAATACCCCTATATGTATATTTATCTATAAATTATATATATACTATTCTATTATGTTATTATGAAATCCACAAAAATAGAAATTTTTTAAAGAAATGAAAATGAAATAAATATTATTTTAAATAGCTTTCTAAAACTTATTTAACAAACAAACAAAAGCCCTGGGGCCATAACTTTTTAAAATATTAACAACAATTTTAGTGAGAGCAATGAATTCAGCATGCTTCATTACTTCTAAAATCTTGGTTTAATACTTAATGGCAAAGCAATCTGAAAGCCTTGGTTCTAAACTGGAACATTTAGATTTAGTGGTTGTCACAGCTGGGGAAACAAATGACACCTCACAAATTTATAAGATTAAAAGGTCTAAATGGAAAAAGTCCACTGTTGACTATACCTTCCAATTCCTTTTTATGCAAAAATTTGGCCTAATCAGAAAACACTGCATCTTTACATTTTAACAATAATTTCAGTGAAGTTTTAAACTCTGCTGAAACTGACTATAATATGATTTTATGTGTCAATTTGGCTGGGCCACACTGCCCAGATATTTGGTCAAATATTATCGGATGTTTCTGTGAAGGTGTTTTGGAATGAGATAATATTTAAATTGCTTAATTTGGAATATGTAAAGCACATTACCCTTCATAATGTGGGTGGGCCTCATTCAATCAGTTAAAGGACTTACTAGAACAAAAAATGACCTATCCTCTTCAAGAAAAATGCTGCCAGTAGGCTGCCAACAGACTATCTTTGGGCTAGAACTGCAACTCTTCCCTGGGCCTACCTTGCAGAGTTTGGACTTGTCAAGCCTCCAAAATCATGTGACCCAATTACTTAGAAATCAATTCCTCTCTCTCTCCTCTCTCTCTCTCTCTCTCTCTCTCTCTCTCTCTCACACACACACACACACATCCTTGGTTCACACTGACTTTAAAACAAGCAATAAATTTCTTTTAATGTTTTAAGTGTGCAGATACAGTAGTTGCAGGTGACATCATTTTTAGCAACAAAATTCTACAATGATGAATGCATTTCCAAACATTCATCATCAAAATTCTTTTTCCATAGCTCAACTTTCTTTGGAAAAGTAACTATACATTCACTACTAAAGTTTCCCTTTTATCTTAAAAAACCAGGTTTTCTCAAAAGTACCTGCTAGGAAAGCATATTACTAACAGCCACTTATTAAACATCAACAAATTAGAAACAACAGATGAACAGCAAACCTGTGTGAAACAAAGTTTTTCAATAGTCCCTCACCATTTCATTTGGAAATACTGTAAAAAGTCTACTATATTTCAAAGGTATTATTTTTATAAAATTAACCATAATAAAAATATGCTGTAATATTCTGTGGACTTCTCACTTTAATTTCCTTTGCTTACCTATAAATGATGAAGTGAATAAATTGCAACCATATCCCAATTTCCTTTTCAAAGGAAATTATTAATGCACTGCTTTATTAGTGGTTATTACATGGTTTTTTCATAAAACACTGTTCAAGTCACTTCCTGTTGAGAATAAATCTTCAACACATCTTTCCTTTAGTGGTTCACAAAAACAGTACTTCAAAATATAATTCATTATCAAAACAGAGTCTAGCAAACGTTGTAAGCTGAGATATTAGAAATATGTGTACTATAATAAACTGTATAGCAAATTTTCAGCATATAATTTTCCCTAAAATATATTTCTTTACTCAACAAACAGTATTTGTTGAGATCATTAGTTAGTCACCATGTTGTTTTACACATATCACCATTTTTACCACAAAAGGAAAAGTAAGGACATTTCTAATAGCATGCTTTTTTTTTTTTCCCACACCACAATGTTGCAGGATCTTAGTTCCCCAACCAGGCACTGAACCTGGGCCCTGGGAGTGAAAGTGCAGAGTCCTAATCACTGGACACGAGGGAATTCCCAGCATGCTGTCTTTTACCATTAACTTTGAAATTTCAAGAGGATTCCAGTCAGTCAGGTTTACTGCAGCATTATTCATAATAACCAAAAGCTGGAAACCACATATCCATCAACAGATGAATGGATAAACAAAATGTAGTATACACATACAATGGAATATTAGCCTTAAAAGGATATTCTGACACATGCTACAAAATAGATGACTCTTGAAGATATTATGCTAAGTGAAATAATCTAGACACAAAAGGACAACTACTGAATGACCTCATTTATGTGAAGTACCTAAAGCAGTCAAATGCATATAGACAGAAAGTAGAAGGTGGTTGGTTCCCAGGGGCTAAGGGTTGGGAAAAATGGGGAGTTACTGTTTAATGGGTAGTTTCCATTTGGGAAGATGAAAAAAGTTCTGGAGACGGATGGTGGTGATGACTGCACAACACTGGGAGTATACTTAAAGCCAACGAACTGTACACTTGAAATGGTAAACGTAATGTTACCTATATTTTACTACAATGAAAAATATTTGTCAATAAATTCAATGAAATTTAGTACAGTCTTCATTGGTTATCACATGATTTTAAGCATCACTTTTAAAAAAGAGCAGAGGTCAGGGTGGCCAAGGTGCCAGAGTAGGAAGGCCCTGAGCTCACCTCCTCCCAAGGGCACACCAAAATTACAACTATTTACAGAGCAACTATTGATGATAAAAACCAAAAGACTAGCAGAAAAGATCTACCACTAAAGATATAAAGAAGGAGCCATAATGAGACAAGTAGGAGGAGCAGAGATGCAGTACAGTCAAGACCCATAGCCCCAAGTGGACCCACTTGGATATATAGGAGAATAATTACAACTGCAAAAGCTCTGGCCAAGGAGCCCCACATTGGGATCCCCAGCCCAGGTGTCCTGCACCAGAAAGACAAGCATCCAGAACGTTTGGCTTTGAAGGCCAGTGGGGCTTACTTTCAGAGAGCCAGAGAGCTGAGGGAAATAGAGAAACATCCACTCTTAAAGGATGCACACAAAATCTCACATTCCGGGACCCAAGGCAGAAGCAGTAATTTGAAAGGATCCCAGGTCAGAACATACTGTTAATGTGGGAGAGACTCCTAGAGGGGTAGGAGGCAACTGGAGCTCACCCTAGGGACATAGACAATGGCAGAAGCAATTTAGGGGAGCTCGTTCTACCATGAAGACATTGGTGCTGGCAAGTGACATTCTGAATCCTCCCTCTAGCTTATTAGCAGGGACCTGACCCTGACCAACACCCTCTCAGCACCAGTACTGGGATGCTTCACACCAAGCAGCCAGCCAGGCAGGGATACAGTCCCACCTAACGGCAGGCTGACACCACCCCCGAGAAACCTTGGATCCAGCCCCAAACACAAGCAGGCCAGCACCAACTTTGCAACACTCCAGATCCTGCAGCCAGCCATGTCAGGAACAGTCCCCACACACCAGCAGGCAGACAACAGATCTGAAACCCCAGCCCCACAACCACCCACGTGAGAACCTAGCTCCACCCACCAGTGGGCCAACACTAGCCCCAGGACCACCCAGGGCTCTGCAGCCAGAAGCCTCATTAT